TATCAAATATCGATGTTGCGACATTTCTGTTTTTTTTTTTTTTTTTTTTTTTTTTTTTTTTTTTTTTTTGTAGAATACAATCTTCGTTCTTTATTGGAAAAGTTTTTTAAGAAAGCAACTCGGCGAAAAGAAATTTGCTCATCGCACACTTCCAACTTTCCGCAACTTTATAGCGCACTTCACTGCATCCCGTTAACGCTCTCATTAAAAGTATCGTATAAACGGACGTTAACGCGAAAATTAACAGACCGAGTGTTGTCGTTAAACTGTACTACCACTATATTTTTCAACGTGATGATGAGGACCAATTCACAACACAAACAATTTTGCATATCGATGAAATTTATTTACAACACATCTTTGTGTGAGTTTTTCGTGTTCATATACATGTGTATAAAAAAATATAAAATTCTCTGAGCATAAATACAAAAATTAATTTCGAAGTGATTTCGATATTGCTGCGGGTTTTCGTCGGGATCGAATACCTGTCAACGCGCGATCGGTGTTTTCAGGCTTCGTTCCCGTCTTCCCGAGACTCGTCTTCGAGAGGTTCGTCGGTTCTCAATCCTTCTTTTCGTTAATTCCGTTTTTTTTCTTGCAGTTCTTCGTTTTCCTCGGGATGCTCGGCGATGTATTGAAGAGCTTTCAGGATTTGTGGCGGCACGGCCGGCGTGGTGGGCAGATGACTGCCTTCCGGTTGGAATCCGTTCTCATTGGCCACATACGAGACGTGGTAAGTCTGACCGTCGGTGCCTGTGTAGCTGAAGCTGCCTCGCGCTTCAATAGCCTCCTGATCGGTGCCAACGTTGTTGAGATGGCCCTGTTCTTCAACCTGAATGCCGTTGGCGGTTTCGTAGTTGTAGTTGTAGGTGCCGTCTGGATTGGGCCCGTCCAACGCCTGCTTGACTATGGGAATTGGGGTGGTATTGGGATCGGCGGGAGCGGCTGCGGCTACTGCCACGAGGGCGCACAGAACGATCGTCTGGAAAAAGCGAATGATGAAGTTCGTTAAATTATGTAATTGCATTACGACTAGAGAGAAAAATAGAAAGATACACGATCTACGTTATGGATGGATAAATAATGAGAAAAAAAGTGCAATTGCACAAAAGAAATAAGAAGAAGAAAATATTTCTAAATAAGTCAATTAAAATAACACAAGATCAAGTCAAAAAAAAAAATAAATATCGAAATGACAATCGCGCCAAAAATTGTTAATACAAATTTGTACGACTTTTTTTATCATCTTCGGTTTTTATATTCGGTTTTTCTTTTGAGTGAAGATATTTTTACGTGCATATGTGTGCGCTATATGAGAAGAAGTACGTGTGTCTACAGAAACGCGAGATTTACGAAAGATTCACAGATTCCACACATGTACGAACATCTCGCGTAATTATATTGTTGCGTAATATATCTTATTTTGCACAATAGCACCGAAACTCACCGAGAGATGCATGTTGAAAAATTTGTATTATTTTTCCTAGTTGGTGCTCGTAAGCTTCTCACTGCACTGACTTGCCATCTCGGGCGCGTCTTCCGCTTTATATATCCTCCACCCGAAGATTCGGAGACCGTTTACCAAAAGGTAATACCTTATTTAACCCCCCTCCACATCCCTTGAGACCTCATGGTCCATCTTCCCACTCCGACGAGCCATACATCCGAATTTTGCGGATGAGCTGACCGCGCGCGCGCACGCGTCCAATACGTGGTCCTCTCGCGAGGACTTGAAACCTGAGGTCATGCCTGCGTCTACAACACCGCGAAAGGTCGGCATCTGAATCTTAGCAAAAAGATAAGACTCTTGCTCGTCATTCGCAGGATCTGATAGGACATTAAATCTTGTCGCTGCGAGAAACAAAAGATGTATATTAAGCGACTCGCGTTTATTTTGACAATTGCAATTATTATTGCAATTCACTCTCCTGAAAGCGATGATTAGATCCGACACAAAGTCGCGTATTAAGGTTTGCACACGGAAAAAAAATGATGTTGAATCAACAGTATCAGTTTAATTGAAATATATCCTGTTGATGCAACATCAATATTATTGCACTATACACAGCAGATAGTTGCTTTAAGAATCTAGACATTAAATTAATCGCATATGCAATTGAATAAACTATTTATTTTTGTGGCAGCCCGTGACGTCAACTTTAATTGAAGCAACTCCATTTTTTTTTCTGTGCACATTTCTACGTAACTTGCATATGTTTATGATGTGCACGTGTGTATGTAAGACGCATGTATATTTAAATATTACAACTATCTTGAGCAGTGTATATTTTAAAGGATGATAAAATCCAATGGAACATTTTCAAAATCAAACTCTTTCATTCGGTAATTTTATGGATATTTTTTTTTTGTCTACTTGTTTATTCGGTTTTTACCAAAGTGTGATAATCGAGAGTTCGGCTCAGACAAAATTATGCATTTATGCGAGAAAACATAAAGTTTGTATGTATTTATTTGTGTTTTTTTGCATTATAATAAGCACTTTAAGAAGTTTTTTTTAAATAAGTATTGCAAAATCTTGAAACGTGAAATCTTAGAGTTATCCGACAGTTTGTTATCAAACTGTCAATAAGGAATTGTTGCTATTGTTTTTACAGAGAAATTCTCTGACGTAGAAAAAGGACTTTCCTTTCTGTATTGTAAATGAGTTCTTTTTAAAACAAAAACAAAAAAAGAGGAATATTACAACCGCTAAAAGCAGGATGAAGTCACGACTGGATATTTTCACGTTCAAAAAGATGCAATCGATAAGATGACAAACGCGTCATTGGAATATAAAGAAGATAAATGTCTGTGTTAAAAAAAAAAAGACATTTCGTGGCCGCATCAAGGAAGAAAAATATTCATGATGTGTTAAAAACAACGCGCTTAAGATATCGCGCGGTTGATGCAATTTATATCGCATAATTAATTTTGGTCACTAGGTCGTCACTATCTCTCGTGCGTACTCTTGAAAATATTATTTATTGAACAATTTTGCAAACATTTTGCAATTCTCAAAAAAAAAAAAAACGTTCTCTTCTGTATTTTATTTTATTCTGCGAATCCTCTCTCTCTTCTCTTGTCACGCGCAAACGCGATGCCGTTAATTTTCTTTACACATCGTTCTACCTCCTTCATGGATCGGTGCAAGTGAAAGAACAAATTATTTAGATTTGTTAAGCTCGTTATCATCGCGGCACTCGTTTTCACGCTGGATGAAACTCGCTGCTTACAGGTCACTTGTATCAAAACGGATGCATTATTGCGCGCGTTTATTCTGGCGGCCAAATTCATGGCCGAATAGCTCGCAAAATAAGTCAGTGTAGCGGGAGGTGAAATGTCAAATGCAAATGGCATCTGTATATATGTATATATATATATATGCATACGACACGCGTATATACATATACATTTTGCTCGGAATGATCACAATTTTAGGTGCGGAAAAATATGTTTATTCACGTTTAATGTTTTCTTTGCACAAACATCAAGCGATATTTCTGACAAAAGTATCTAAGAACAAATGGATGTAGCGTAATGATGAGAGGAAAAACGTAGGAAATCTTTGCTTACATTTAACACAATGTAAGTGTAATTGCGCAACGAGATTATCGAGAGAAATTATTTGGGAAGAATTCGCCGAGTTATCTCTGAACACATATTGACACGCTCGAGAAAGAGAGAGAGAGAGAGAGAGAGAGAGAGAGAGAGAAATTTACAACACGCGTTACTACTGAGATGGTATCGTAAACTTGATAATATTTTCAATAATGGCAACTTTCGGTTTTGAGGTAACATTGCTCGCGGCATCGCCGTCGCATAACTTTTAAACACACGTGTGAACAAGCGTGTGCTTCTTGCGCAGAGACGTTATTAATTAAGGATGCTGTACAGTACGTTTAATTTAAATAAGAATCGTATAGTTGCGAAAAGATATGTAAAATTTATATTAAAAGGTACGAAAACGAACATATATACAATTGAGATAATATTTAGATTAATAAACGTTGTCTACCATATCTTTAAATTCGGTAGTACATCGTTGTTATTTACGTTAATGTGTCGCGCACGACGTCAATAAATATTCATTATTTGGTTACATGCGCCACGTGTGTGTGCGTCAACGAAAATTTTTATCATATAATTCCCAAGTTCGACACTTACTTATTACCGCATATTCGTTGAATAGCCGAAGGTCAGGATCCGCCGCGAGCCGTGATTTTAAACGATGATGGTCGTTCCGTAATAAATTTCGCTAAATCTCTCCGGTCGTCTTTTCTTCTCTCTTGTGTTAACAATGTGTTTCATAATCGAGTTACTTATACACAAATGTCTAATTAATTTGCAATCATCTACGACGTAGATTACGAGCGGCAGATGCCGGTGAACAGCGATGTGTAATCACTTTGGCATATGTGTGTGTGTGTGTGTTAAATTGGTATTTCCCAAAATTTTAATTATACGCGCATAAATGAAATAAAACCTAGTTGTCAAGAGATTTAAGGGAAGATAAAAAACTGGTAACTGTTTTTCCTTAATAAATATGCATATATGCATATTCTTGATATTTATAATGTTGATAAGAGGTGCAGGTTACGTTACTAATTGATACTTATTTACATCGTTATCAGAATTTTGAATTTACTTCAATAACAGACCAATTAATTGTAACCGGCCGATGTTTCAGAGAGGCCCGTTTATTTCATCGCAAATGGAATGAGACGCTTCATAATGTGTTGTATTACTGAGATAATCCTGCTATAACCTACATACTACACTCAGCATTTTTACTTTCACGCGGCAGATGAGCCAAACTTGTGTTGTTGCTTCAACGAAATATTACGCAGTCGGTGATTAAAGAGTCGCGGGGACGACAGGTTATGACAATTCATCATCTGTGCTTTGCAGCGAATAGACATGTATCCAGCGTAAATGCGTGTTCACCGGATACGCGTAAAAATCGCAATGAAAAATGACACCTCGCAAAAATTACCGATGCGTGGAGAACACACAAAGCCCGTTTGCGTGAAGCCGCAAAAGCCAGTCAAATCGCCAGGTGTAATCGTCTCCCGTTATCCAAATATTCTGACGTAATATCTGTCCGATGCACGCCCGCGCATATATTTTGCGAAATTCATTCTTTATACCGTTAACAATGAAATCCGAAACAATGAATGAAAGTGTTTTTAGATCACAGGATTTTAAAAAACTTTTTTTCTCGACAAATAAATATATAATTTTAAATATCTAAATAAAAACTAAACAAATAAAATAAATAATTCTACAAATAAAATATTATATTTAGAAATTTTTACAAAAAATTTCCACTTTTTTCGCGGTGAAATTATAAAACATGACAATCGATGATAAAATCAGCCATTAAAATTACTTAATAATTTATGTGTGTTTTATTTAGGTAAAATTTTGGTAATTATGCAGTTATACGGACTATTTTCCGATCTCAACAATTTTGACATATGTTATCAAGGTCACCTCNCTGAATAATAATATGAAGGTTTTATCCGTCGCTCATTGTTTATAAAAAA